GCAGGTTGCTTGGTGAAATATCAAAAAAGAAGAGAGGGTCATTAACACCCGTGGAATGAAGAGTTTAGAAGGGATCAAGTAGATGGTAATGAGCCATGAAGTCAACTGGCTCTCAGCACTGCCTGACTAAAACTGCTGCTTTCCATTGCCAGGCAGCTGATTTTAAACTTTGGGAACAGGAAGCAAAGTAGGCTGCAAGTGCATCAGTGACCTTCCTCCCTTCCCCCCAATATCAATCCCTGTTAATCCTCTAGTTGGCTGATTGAATAATTTGTGGATGCCAGTGGATTTGTGGACATTGCAGTACAGATCATGAGTGCATCGGTATATTTAGAATTAATTGGGAGGGTAATCTCATATTGTCTCATATACCAAGTAAGAAGAAAAGACTGTTGCTTTTGACTACACAGACACTAGTTTACTTGCCATTCAAGTCCATTTAGTAGCTTCTTGTAGGACTACCAGTAGAGTGAAAAGTATGTTGAAAGTGGAATATTTGTTATGCACTGTAAAAACTGATCAATTTAAAGGTATTCTGACAAGTAAAGAACCATGGCCCTTATAAGTTCCCCATTCATTTTCCCTAGATCACTTAAGGCACACACTGTGCTTCTTGCTTCGCTTCATTTGATCTCCTCCTTTCTCTCTCTATTTTGTTGAAACAGTAGTGAGTGTTTTGTACCTTCATCTTCTCAGGCAATTAATTTTTTGGATCCAAAGTAGGTGCTTGCTAGGGCTGTGAGAAACTTCACTGGCTGTTTCGTTTCAACGCTGTTTCAACTTGTTTCAAGCTCGAAACAGTGAAATTGAAACAAAAAGCTTTGAAACAGCCTTGAAACAAGGGCAGTCAAAATATTTTGAAAGTTTTGAAACATTTCAAGTTTCAAAGCTGAAGTTGGGCTTGCTTGCAGGAAAAAGAAAATAGGGAGATGGAGGGGGGATAGGGGAAAGGACAGTTCTGATTTGACTGTGTAGTTGGCCAGTGACTGTGATCCTTCCCTGAGGTTCCTTCCCTCTGGGGGAGGGATGGAAAAACAGCTTAAAAAGTAGCATCGTTTGAACTCAGCTGCTTTCTGTCTTTGGGTCAGTTACTGAGCTGTGTCTTCCAGCAGCTCAGCAGCGTCAGATAACAGGCTATCATTCATTTCCTACTTGCCAGCCTAGCAAGTGGGATTCATCAATACCTTTTTGCTTTCTATACCCTTTTGTTTTATCATTATATTAATTGATTCCTTTCAATTTATTCTTTCCCCAGAATCCTCTTTTTGGTTTTGTTAGTCTATTTTTATTCTTTTTGAATCTGTGCTCTCTCTCATAGGGTGCATTCCATTCACTGTGCAGGAAAGCACAGCATATATTGCGTATTATAATATAGAATTTATATAAGAACACTTGCATACATTTATATATTTTCATTTTATTTATTACATAAATACATATACAATACATCTATTACATAAATCGGATAACATTACAGAAGATCACCAAGCTAAAAACACTATGAAACACACCATGAAGCTTGCTGGAAAGGCAGCTGGCAAGTCTTCAGAGGGGGGTGAAGAGGGAGTAGAGGGAGAGCTGTAAGCCCCCGCCACCCCCCCAAACAAAAAAATGAGACACAGCCTCATTACTACAACAAGCAGGCATGAGGCTTCCACTAGTTCTACAAGCAGCAAGCAGAGAGGATCAGTGCTGCTGTCTGTGCCTAAGTCTGCATCCCCTCCAAGAGCACCAGCCATGACTCCCACCACCGTGACAACATGCAGCCACACCAGCATGACCGTCTCCTCCACCCCCATTTCATTTCCCCTAATGAGCCTTCCAGTGCCAGAGGAAGAGCTGGAGCTGGATCTGAGTGCCATAGCAAGGGAAATTCTGGGGAAGTAGGGGGAATCCTTTGAGTGCTCTACACCCCTCAAGTTTCCTCTACATTCAGGTCTCCTTCCCCAGAAGGCACTTCAGAGGAGGTTGAAGTAGAGAATGCAGAGGCAAGTGGCTCAGCTGAGTCCACTTCTTGTGTTGCTGTGCCTCTGCCTGCTGAGGGGGGAAAAGGCAGCATCCGCACATGCACCCACACCCCAGAAGCGAGCAGGTAGTGTGGTCTGGGATCATTTTGAACTACCAGATGATCCCACATAGACTATCTGCCTGCACTGCAGAGCGAAAACTAGCTGGGGCAAGGGAACAAAACACATGAGCCCCACAGGGATGCTGATGCATCTCTGCAGGCACTACACTCTTGCCTTTGTTCCTTAGCCTGGCACCAGTGGGAGCATGCCCAAAAAGAAGTTCCCCTCTTGCTCCAAAGCCCCCAGCCCCTCAAAACATAGGCAGGCCACCCTGGAACAGTGGGGGAAAAGGTGGACAGAAAGACGAGTGCATTGCAAAGGTGAGCGAGATCACCCAGACCACTGGGGAGATGCTTGCTGTGGATGGCCAGCCCTTCTCCTTAGTTGAGCGGCCAGGGTTCAGGCAGCTCATGGTGCCCATGGCCCCATCATGCCTTCATGCAGCACCTTCAGCAGGACAGTGGTGCCCTTTCCCTGTATGAAACATGCAGGGAGTACTTGAGGGAGGAGACCCACAAGGCAGGTCTGCAGGTGGCCTTACACTTAACCTCAGACATCTGGAGCAGCCGGGGTGGAGATCATGCCTACCTCTCCCTCACAGGGCACTGGTGCAACCAGTCAGGCCATCAGTAGGCTCTTCTTCAAGCTGAGGTGATGAATAAGTCCCACACGGCAAGGGAGATCATGGGGGCCATGAACTGCTTGGTACAGGGGTGGCTCATTGGGCAGGGCAAGCTCGGCTGCAGGTTCATGTTCACCAACAATGGGGCCAGTATGGTTAAGGTGGTCCATGATGCCAACTTTGTTGGCATCTGCTGTGTGGCACACAAGCTGCACCACATAGGGTTACCTTGGAGGGAGACAGGGGTACTGGAGATGGCGCTGTCACTACCACCCAGCTGATTGAATGCCACCATGTTTTGATTTGCCCACCTTGTAAGCCTGTCAAGGTCAGCCTGGATCACTAGGCTATCCTCTAAGGTAACCACACTTCCCCATAGCTTTGTGTCATCAACGACCTTACTCAGTCTGCTTCTGACAGCCACAGTAAATTGGTAACTGTGTCTTCACATTTATAATCTCCTTTTTCATTAAATGTGTGGGGCAAGACTGGTAGAGGGACCAACATTTTTGAAAAACAAGAGCTTAATTAAGAGTTTAGTTTCAATATCAATTTGAGTAATTTTGGTTGATCATATTGCAGTTTACTTTTACTCTTTGAACGTTTAAGCTCATTGATCCTCTTTCTGAGCAATCTAGGAGAATTTTTTAAAATCTTAGACATATTTTTGTGAAGAAACTGAAATAGATCCTTATGCTTTTCCAAGTCTGTTTTGCAATTATGTGGTTTATTTTACTGATAATCTCACCTATGGTGTTTTATACAGAATACCTTTTTCATTATAAATCCTAATAATTTAAGACAGTAAAAAAGTGTTCTTTTTTTTTGTTTTCCTTCATCTTGTGGGGCCCTCCTTTCATTCTTTAACTAGCATAAGAAGAGACAAAGAGTCTATATATTTTATGCAGCATTATAATTTTTGAAAGTATATTAGAGATATTAATTCACTTTGGGCAGGTGCAGACATTATACTTTAATCAATATAAGTGGTCAGCAACCAGAAGTTTGACACACACAGACTAGTTTTAAAATGGAGGAACCCAGTCTAAGTTTTGTCAACCTGTCTCCACCCCCGCCACTCCCCAAAAAGTGCAAATATGTGTTCTGTTTGCTACTGATCTAAACTATGCTGCTTACAGAAAATCGCTTAACTTAGATTGATTCTGCCTTGGGCTTTCTGAATATCTACCTAGTCTCTGTGTGTTAGGCTGCAAGTACTATTCCTACTTTATGCATGGCAGAACAGATATAGAAACTAAAGGACTTACCTGAAGATCACATAGTCAGGTCTGCAACTTAACAGTTCCTTGCTCCACCACTGACATCCTTACCAATGAAAGAATATGGTCTTGTGGTGTGTCCCTGCAGACAATATTCTGTCTTTAATTTAAGTGACCATGGAAAATAGAACTTGAACATATTACCATTTCACCTTGCATTCAGGTGCAGCTGCACCTTTCACAACACATTGGCTGCTCCTCCCACCACTCAAACAACACAGCAGCAAGCACCCAGACACTCACCAGGCATGCTTCTAACATGCAGAGGGGATATTGGCCACTCTGAGCCCTCGTTCACTCTGTACTCAACCTCACCCCCAGCTGCTTCTCCATGTCCATCCACACGACATTCATGCCCCTTTCACATGGCGTGCTTCTATAGACATGGCCCTTGGCTGAGCACTCAAAAGTAACTGTTTTATTTATCTCACAGTCTTCCCACCCTAACTGAGGGATTAGCATGCATGCCCCAATCTCAAAACTAAGTCAACTCTTCTCCAAAGGTGAAGAGTTCACCTCTTCTGTTCCACCAACATACAGAGCATGTGAGAGACCTCAGTTTCCCCTGGCCTATTTAGACTTCAGTCTGCAATTCATATGTAATAACTATGCAGAGGAGGAATCGACAATATTCTGCCTCTCTTTGATTAGACAGCATATTCATATTCATATACTTACAAAATATTTTATTTCTATTGGCCCTAGAAATGCATGTAGTAGTTTGAAAAACATCTATTGTGAGAAAAGGAAACTGGACTTAGATCCCACAGAACTAAATTTTCCTATTTATATTGAAATACATTGTAGGTTGGTCTTCCTTTTTTTTTTTTTTTGTAGAAGTTTAATTTGGCCAGCAAGATGAGTGCTTCCAAAAAACAAGAAGGTTATTTGTACAATTTTAGTAGCGTTCAGAAGAAAATCTGTTTCAAATGGAGTTTTATCTTTGTACAAAAAGTTGTTAGAACATTTAATGTTATTCCAGTTTTGCAGTCTTTTAGTTAATGTTTTTATAACTGTGTTTGTTTTTAGACGCTTGGAACAGAACTTCATCAAAGCCATTCCCCCAGGAGCTTTTTCGCAGTACAAGAGACTTAAGAGAATGTAAGTTTAAAAGCAGGACTAAACTTTCTAGATTAATACTCATAGCTTGTACTGTTTTCAGTTTTGCCATCTTTATTTTACAAACACAGGACCAAATGCTGTGATAAAGCCATTGGGAGGTGAATAAGTAATCTCTCCTAAGTGTAATTCTGCAGGGAATTTAGGCTGCTTACCAGTGCATGATATCCTTAGTAACACTCAGATTCACTTCTCTGTCATGTAGTATATGAAGTAATTAGTTGTTCTTTGTTTCTAAACAGTAATTAGTTCATTCTTTGTTTCTAAACAGACTCCCTTTCCTCCAAGATGATTTTAAGTTATAATTATTTTGCTGGCCTCAGATTGGTTTATTTGCCACTGTCTATAGCATGTAAAATGTTTCCTTAAAAAAATTTGAATTTTCCTGTGCTAAGCGTCCTTGTATTAAAAATATTTTTGTGACAATACATTATCCCAGAAATACATCCTCTCTCTCATACCTCTGTTTGCCAATATAATTCAAGACAACGCCTATTCTATATACCAGGGGTTGTCAACTGGGGATACGTGTACTGCTGAGGGTACTTTGAAAGGTCCCAGGGGGTACATGGGGGCAGGCAGGGACAAGGTGCAGCCACCCCGTGCCACTGTCTCACAGGAGCAGGCCCGGGGCAAGGTGACAGCAGGGCCACAGAGAACCTGCGTTGCCGCCGCTGACCGCACCCCTGCTCCACGTCTAGCCACTGCCCACCCCCCAGGGGTACACTTACTAAAAAGGGGGCTGCTGTGGGTATACATATTTTAAAAGTTTGAAACCCCCCATTTTAAACTGAAGCCTTATCTATAAACTTCAGTGTAATTACCATGGGTTTACATCATTGGTAAAACAGACCATAATTACTCCCTATAAACACACACACCTGTGCAGGCACACAAACTAATAAAAGTGAGGCTCTTTCTTTACTGTTTAAAAATTAAATGGTAGTTGCTGCTCATCCGAGAGGTTTGAATTTGACAGTGCTGGAATCTTTAATCCTCTTCTGACAGTAATAGTGTAAAGAGACGTAGTTAGCTGTGTTAGTCTGAAGGCAAATAGAAAGCAGGGTAGATTTTTTCCTTATAGACTAACCAAAGTAGACCTATAAATCTATTTATAGCACAAGCTTTCATGAGCTATAGTTTACTTCCTCAGATGCTGTGAAAGGATGTGCAGAAAGCAGAGTATAAGGAGGAGAGAGCATTTAGAATAAAAAAGACAAGGCAGGATGTGAGAGAGAGGAGGAAAGGGGAAGAGGGGCAGTGCTGTCAGAGACAAGCAAGCTAATATTAAACCCATAGGAACAAAGTGATCACCAAAGGTAACCCAGGTAATGGGATAAGAATTCATGGTCTCTGTTCAAACAATACTTAACACAATCCAGTCTGTAGATGTTTTCTTGTTCTGTAATTTCCTGTTCAAATTTGTTTTTAAAAGTTTATCTGAGAACAGTCACCCTCAGGTCAGCAATGTAGTGTCCAGGGAGGTTAAAGTGTTCCGCCACTGACTTGCATGTCTTTCTGCAGCTGATCTCAAAGCAGTGGTCACTCATTCTGTAACATGGGGATCATTCAGTCATTTCAGTGTAGACAGCAGAGGGAAGGGTACTGCAAGCAGGTGATGGCATATATGGCACTGGTGGAGTTACAGGTGAATGAACCTTGGATGTTATAATCTGTTATTCTTTTTAGTGATGATGTCATCCGAATTGATGCTTGAGCACAGAAGACATTTGGATCCCTTGCAAGTCCTGGTGCCACAGTAAGACTTGGAGTTAGGTAGCCTATTGCTTGAGAGAGACCATTTGAGGTTGGAAGGCTGTCTGTAAGCCAGGACTGGTTTGTCCTCCATGACTACTTTGAAATGGTCATCCTTTTGCAGGAGGGTTTGGAGGTCATTAATTATATGTCTAAGTTGTTCAAGCCAGGGCTTGTAGATGATGAGTAGATTGTCCCTATCCCAGAGTTGGTACAGTAGCAGGTCATAATGTGGTCTGAGTCTGACTTTGTTGATTTGAGTGGTTACAGTTTTGGGGTTGTATTGTAATTCTAAAAATCCCTGATCTGTATCCTTAAGATATGTATTAGGGCTGTGCAAAATTTTGCCGAGTGTTTTGTTTCGAAGCTGTTTTGATGTGTTTCAAGCTCAAAACAGCAAAATCGAAATGAAACAAAAACATCAAAACAGCTTTGAAATGAAATGAGGGCACTCAAACCGTTTCAAAAGTTTTGAAACATTTCAAGTTTTGAAGCAGCCTGGTGGTAGGAGAGGCAGGGGAGAGCCACGGCTGTGCTCCGAGCGGCTCTGCAGCCCCACGTAGTTTAGCCCGCAGGGAGCACAGCCCTGGCTGTCATCACCTCCCACCACCAGGCTGCACTCGGTAGGGCTGGTGGAGCTGATCAGAGCGCAGCCCTGGCTCTGGGTTGTGCTTCAATCAGCTCTGGCAGCCACATGGAGCTCAGCCCAGTGGCAGGAGGTGAAGTGCAGCCCCAGCTATCCCTGTCTCTGCCACCGGGCTGCACTCCATGGGGCTGGTGGAGCCGATCAGAGTGCAGTCCGGCAACAGGAGGCAGGCAGAGCCAGGGCTATGGTGCAATTGGCTCCACCAGCCCTACAGAGCGCAGCCTGGTAACAGAAGAAGGGGAGAGGCAGGACTGCCCTCCGATCAGCTCCACCAGCTCCACGGAGTTCAGCCTGGTGGTGGGAGGTGGGGAGAGCTGGGGCTGTCCTCTGCCTCCTGCCACTGGGCTGAGCTCCATGGGGCTGTGGAGCTGCTTGGAGCACAGCCCGGCAGCGGGAGGCAGGCAGAGCTGGGGCTGTGCTTCTCCTCCGGCTGCCATACTGAGCTCCATGGGGCTGATGGAGCTAATCAGAGTGCAGCCTGGCAGCAGGAGTCGGGCAGAGCTGGGGCTGCACTCTGATCAGCTCTGCCAGCCCCATGGAGTGCAGCCTGGCAGCAGAAGGTAGGCAGAGCCAGGGATGCTCCACCTCCCGCCACCAGGCTGAGCTCTATGGAGCTGCAGAGCTGCCTGGAATGCAACCCAGTGATGGAGGCGGGCAGAGCCAGAGCTGCACTCTGCCTCCCACTGCTGGGCTGAGTGCCATGGAGCCCAGTGCCAGGTGTGAGCTGTGCCAAGTGCCAGTCCCAGGCAGCTGTGGTAGCCTCCTGTCATCCAGTACATCCAGGGGCCAGCACCCCCATGAGGAGTCTGGCATAGCTCTGCAGCCTTCCCAGAGGTCCAGGCCTCTGGATCTATGCCCAGATGACAGGAGGCTGCCGCTGCTGCCTGGGGCTAGCGGCAGCATCAGTCTTCCCCAGTGCTGGGTGCCTCCTGTCATCTAGCACAGATCCAGGGACCTGCATACCTGGGAGGAGTCTGGCACAGCCCCACAGCCTTCCCAGGGGTGTGAGTCCCTGGATCTGCATGCCAGATGACAGGAGGCTGCCACTGGCACTAATATCACAAAGGTTGCTTTCAAGATTTTCAGGTGCAGTTTCCAAGAAACCTCTCCACCTATCTCCTTGAAACTTGGCAGGCTTCATGCCTTCAGAGGGGGCTACCATCTCTTCAATTTGCATCCAAATCAGGCAACAAATGACAATATTTTAGGTATTTTCATGATTCCGAATGATAGCCTATGGGTAAAATGTCAAAACAAGTCTAAACAGCTAAACAGTTTTGACAAAATGAAATGGGACCATGCTTCGAAATGAAATGATGAAACGAAACACTGTTCTGTCAAAATGAAATGATGGTGTTTTGCACAGCCCTAATATGTATCACATTCAGTGGGATCAGAGCAGATACAGTTGTAACACAGAGCTTGGCTGTAAGTGATGGATATAATTGTGTGCTTAGGATGCAAGCTGGTGGCATGAAGGTAGCTGTGGCATTTCGCTGGTTTCCAGTACAGTGTTGTGGCATGTGGCCATTGCAAACACTCACTATAGTATTGTTGGGTTGAGTCTTCCAGGAGTAGTTTGATGGATGGTGTAGAAGTTATTAAAGTCTTGATGATATTTTCCTAGTGAATCCTTCCCATGTGTTGTCCGTACAGTGAAGATGCCATTGATGTTCTTTAGGTAAATTATGGAGATGAAATGGCAGCTGTGGAGGAAACAGATTTCAAGGTCTGTCATAAACACTGAGGGGCCATATCTGTTACCATTGCAGTCCCATTCATTTGCAGGTATAGAGAGTCCTCAAACTGGAAATACATGTGTGTGAGGAGAAACCAGGAGAACATAATGGAAACTGAAGCAGTTTTATTGTTGAGGAAAATGTACTTTATGGCTTGTAATCCCTCTTTATGAGGAATGTTGGTGTGACATCCATGGTAGCTAATCTGTTGTTAGCTAGAAGCTTGTCAATGGAGGCCAGTTTCTGCAAGACATCCGTGGTATCTTTTAAACAGTTGGTAGCTATGGTGGCATGTGAGAAAAGTCAACATAGCCAGAAACTCCCTCCATGATGATGTCAACACTAGAGACAGTGGGACATCCTGGGTTGTCAGTTTTGTGTATCTTGCATATTAAGTAAAAGTTGCCTGGCCTGGGCTCTGCAGTAATCCTCTCCTGTGTTTCCCAAGGTAGATCCTGTAAGGGTTTATCCAGATCCTTCTGGTATTGAACCATGGGGTCCTCTGTCAGTACAACCCACATAGTGGCAGAACAAGTTGTTTCTAGATTGCTTCACTGTCACGTCAGTGTATAGAAACACTCCTTCTAGGAATATGAAACATAATTTAGTGGCCCTGGCCCATTCCAAGATTACTTATGAAAGTACTGCTTATCTTTGTTTCCATGAGAAGAGCACTATCTAAGGGTAAGATTGACCCCATCTATTCACTCCTGCTAAGATACAGAACCATCAGCTAGATGTTGCTTTTGAATACTGAAATGTTGGCTTTGGGTATGAAACTAACTGTCTTACCAATCCAATCACCCTTCCCCACAGTTGAGGAGTTGTAAATATGGATCTTA